AATGGGGAATAAAACATTTTTGTTGAAAATTACTATTTCGATCGGCGAAAATTAACTGAGTAAAAAAAATCACACAGCATAAATATTCCGTTTTCTTCGAAAGTCGGAACAAAAATTCATTATCATCGATTTTGTCCGTGAAACTTTGGTTCGGACTGAATGTTCCCTCTGCCTTTTAAGGTCTATGGAGCAGTAATAACATTAAAAAAACAAAAGATATAAAAAACGAAAAGATTTTTCTTTCAAATTTGAGATTTTTTGTGGAACTCTTGCCCCCTAATGCCATATAAAGTACAACGTGATAGTAGTAACAAACTAATTACGGCAAGTAAGCTTCCTTTAACCAATTTGGAACAATTTTTGAGTCAAATTTATTCTCCGCTAACGCGTTAATCGCGCGAAATATGTCAGTTTGCTACAATGGCAATCTTCAAACCTCATAACTTAACGAAAAATGATCACAGAAGAAATATATTTTAATTTTAATTTAAGTTCAAGACAACGTTACCTTTCGAATGATATAAAATTTCCGTCAAAAGTGGCTAGTTATAAACTCGAAATTTGTCTGAAGAAAAAAACCACCACGAGCACAAATTTTCCATTACTACCGTTACGGAAAGTCGGACAATTACATTTCATGTATCTTTGGACATTACCTTTGACATATCTTTTCATCTCAGAAAGACCAAAAAATCATGTTCACTTTCATAAAAACAATGAAACCTCCTGAACTTTTTTTGTCGCTTTAACTATGTATGAATGAGATCTTAATATTGTTACGATTTAATTTTTTTTCGCCCGGTATTCGTTCTTTCTTTTAAGCGAAATTGACAATTGAAAATTTTTGGATCATTTTTATTTGAAATAAAGAAAAATATCCGGGATTCCCTTCAATATTTGTTCAAAAAAATGCTTTTTCGTTGCATATGGTTTTGCAAAAGCGAATGTCATGAAATTTAAAGCCAAAACATTGATGACATAGATAATGTTGATCCAAAAAACAATATTGAAAACCTATCTCCTTCGTTAAAAAAAACTCTTGCTAATTGCTTCCAACACAATTTGTTTTTGGTACTATTTAAGACGTAAGAATGAAAATTGCTCGATAAGTTGCAAACAAGTTTTTTATGAAAAATTTTGATGAGCAAGAAGAAAAAAAATAATGAAAACAAATAAGCACTGGGAAGTTCTGATTTTGTTGTCAGTGTTTTGCTCGGAATAAGAAATGCTGAATTGTTGTGAATTCTGCAAAAGCATATCTGAGAAAACAAATTTTGATAGTAGCTGGTCGAGCTCTTCAGATTTCTTCTTAAACTGATTTTTTTCAAAAAAAAAAATACACTCTAAAAGCATCACTGAATGTTTTAAATGAAAACAAGTAAACATTGGGAAACTCTGTTTTTGTTGTCAGTGTTTTGCTCTGAATAAGAAATGATGAATTGTTGCGCATTTTGCAAAAGCATATCTGAGAAATAAATTTTGATAATAGTTGGTCGAGCTCTTCAGATTTCTTCTTATACTGATTTTTTTTAAAAAATAACACTCTAAAAGCATCACTGAATGTTCTAAATTGACATAGAGACGTCCAATTTTTTGCAAGCTGATTGTTACTGCCCTGATTAAAAAGTCTCTTAAGTTTATTTTAAGCTCAAGCAAAATGCAATCCATTAAAAAAACGAAACAAAACTTATCGTATATCTATTGATTGATATTAACAAATTTTGCCAAAATTAGCCAGTTGAAAATTCAAAACTTGTCTGATGAAAAAAAAACACCACCCCGTTCCTTTCGTTACCGAAAGTCGAAGCAAAAAAGGAAAAGCTGCATTTTGCTAACGACTGAGAAATTGTAGCTTATTAGCAACAAGACTGCTCGTATATTAGGGCAAAGCCTGGATGTTCGATTGTCCCTTATTTCAAATCGAATAGTTTTTGGGAAAAACTATATTGAAAATCTGTAAGTTTAAGAAAAAATATCGATGTGTAAAATTTTGAATCGTACGAATTAAATACGACCAATTATCTAGCCTCATTTCAAATTGGAACGATTTTGTTATGCGGGATAGTTTGTCACGCAAAAATAAATCGCATTTCACTCTCAGCGTTATGAATAAACTCTTCAAAGCGCGCAAAAATTGGCCAATTTGGCAAGTTTCAACCCGCGGAACTTTACAAAAAAATTTCGGAGGTAAAACATCTTTTTAAATTATAACCCAGTAAAACAATATCTTCAGTGGGATATAAAAGGTTTTTGGAAAACTATTATTTGGATTGGCGAAATTAGACTGAATAACAGAAAACACGCCGACCAAAAATATTCCATTTTCTTCGAAAGTCGGACCAAAAAATGCCAATGCCATGCAGCAAGAGTTACTTTCAAAATAAACACAATTGTATGCGAGTTCGTAAACAATTGAACGAACTGTCAAGCTTGCTTGTGCTAAAAAGCAAAACTCTTCCAATGACCGTTCTTTGCGTTGAACGTTTATCATGATATTTTCCCATTTAGAGCACGATGTGCTCTGCTAGGGGCTGTAAAAATATCTGATAGATAAAATAGCATACTCGCACCAAGCACCTATGGATTCTGATTGGTTAAACTGGACTCCCGAGACATTACAGATATAAAATTCAAACCGCGAAATCGATTATATTGCCATTATAATCGATTGTTTTTGAAAAGACAATGATACATTATAGCCCCTTGAAGTCGATAAAAATCCATAATTTTTGGCACTGAAAATGATTACTTTTGAAATAAAAATCCAGTATAAACCATTATAATTGACTATAATCCATTTATTTTTAGAACTAAATTCGATTAAATTTGAAGAAATTTTGCAAATTTAGCAGGAAGTTTTCAAAATCTATGCTATGCCTTTTAATAAACGCCATGTATCAACGTCACCTCCTCAAGTTTTTTTCTAATTCCCCTACCCCCCAACTTAAGAGGGGGCGGCAAACTGGGGGTGTCAATCGTTAACCCCCTCCCCAAATTCAACCAATAAATAACACTGCCACCGTGTTCATTTATATCAAGCGAAAATCAGTTGTAGTAAATTGGCAGGGGGGCTTTTTTCCAGTTTATCAAACCCCTCGTAAAATTAATAAGTTAAGCTGTTGAAAATTGTTCACACGGCATTTTGCATGTGAGAAATATTGTAAAATTTTGTTCACCTGTTCACGCTGACATGTTTTGATGCAGTTTATAACATGTAAAGTAATTTTAAGTAAGCTTTCATCTAATGAATTTCAGAAAAAAACCAAGGGGGTCAAAGATTCCAAAAACCAAAAAAAAAACATAATTTTTAATGTGAAATGTAACAGTTTATGAACGTAGCAACTTCAGTAACCGGAATTGAGATAACTTTGGAATTGATTATAATGGTTTTTATTGGCATAAAAAGTAGAAAGACTTTAATCCATTTTTAATGGATTTTAATTGATTATCATGTAAAATACTGACATACAAAATATTATGATTATAAACCTTTTTAATGGTTTTTAATCTATTATTTTGAAAATTTATAGATACTGGCCATATTATGACAATATAATAGATTTTGATCCATGGGCGCTCGGTGCGGGTAAACATTTGCTAGCTTTTTTTATGTGCTATCGCATGCTTATTGTAACTAAATTTGCAGTTTTGGAAGAACATTTCACATCGTAGTTCTGAAAGAACTGGAAGAACATTTTGGCATGGCCATTGAGTGGCAGATTTTTGACTACTTATTCATTTTATCTAATTTTTCAAACAAAAAACGAATAAAAAACTGTATTTTTCAAACAAAAACTGAATAAAAACTGAACAAAAAACTAAATAAAGGAATAACTATCTATTCTGATATCAAATAATGAGACAGATAGCCGGAATAATTTGGTTAGCGTTAGTATCGTGAAATCTGATTAGATAATATGTAACTAAATTTTTTTCAAAAAATTTTAAATTTTTATGCTGTTTTATCTTTATACTGAAGTTACGGTCCTCGCTCTGCAACTCTTGCATGACTCCTGTCAACATTTCGATTCACGCTCTTGAAATTTTCAAAGTAAGCTAACACGAAATGATTAAGCATATCCCAAAAATCATGAAGCAAAACTCAGCTACTAATTGTGGTTCCGACTTTCGTAATGAAAGTAACGGAATATTTGTACTCGGGGTGAGTTTTTTTCTTCAGACAAATTTCAACTTTTCAACTAGTCATTTTTGACGGGATTTTTAAAAACCATTCAATAGGTTTTGTAGTCTTGACTTAAAATTTGAAAAGATATTTATCCTGTGATAATATTTTGTAAAGTTACGGGGGCTTAAAGATTGCCATTTTGGTCAGTTTGGGACAATTAACGCGCGATATATTTTGCGCTATGAACGCGTAAGCGGAGAGTTAATCCGTCTTAGAAATCGTTCCAAATTGGTTGAAAGAATCGTATTTGCCCTAATTGATTTGTTACAAGGAGCGAAATCTATCCTTTTGTACTTTATATGGCGTGTGGGGGATGATTATTGTAAAAAAAAATTCAAATTTTAGAAAACAAATTTCATTTTGTTTTATTTCATTTAATTTTTGTAATGTTATTACTGCTACCTTAAAAGGCAGTCGGAACTTTCAGGGCTTCGCCGTAATACGAGCAGTCTTGTTTGATTTGTTACTGAAGAGCGAAATCTATCACTTTGCACTTTATATGGTGTGTGGAGGGATGAATTTCACATAAAATCTCAAATTTGAAAAAATATTTAGTTTTATTTGTTACAAATATTTTTTTCATGTTATTACTGCTCCATAGACCTTAAGAGTCAGTCGGAACATTCAAGGTCTAACCCTGATAAGAGCAGTTTTGTTACTATTTATTTTCACAAGTTTTTTACTGGTATAAATATGGAACCAAAGCGAGATTTACACTGAGATTTACATCGAGATTTACTACTATCGAGACTTACACCGATTTAAAAAAGTTATATTGCTAATAAAATAGAAGGTAGAAACAAGGCTAACATACCGGGTAGTTGTAGGCCCAGCTTCTCTGCTACCACGCCAGCAAACGCCTCTACGAAGTTATCCCCGGCTAGAATGTCCAAAGAACTGTCCAATATCTCCCCCGCCCAAAACTTCATTCGATTTTCTTTTTCTTTGTCCATAGTGTTGAACGTATGCAAAATTATTCAAACCAATTGCTCAGAGTTGAAAATAAACAGACTTTGTATGGCTTAACTGTGTTCAAAATTGGTAACTTTCTTGGTTTTTGAAGCATGTGCAAAAAAAAACAATTTTTATACTGTTTGGTATTTCTATCCAGTAATCACAAACTGAAGACTCAAACTTTCAATAGTTAGAATCATTCGAAGTTTTTTAATTTTTGCTCGTTCTGTCGTTATTTGGTTTTATCAATAGACTACATGCGTTTAAAAATGATACAGAATGTTTTTAAGTATTCTTTCTTGTCTTCATACGCTTTTCATCGCATGAGTTGATTGAACAGCACGCTTTTGCTAATTATTCCGATTTTCTGATCCAAAATAAACGGAATATTTGTGCTTGGTGTGGGTTTTATTCTTCAGACAAATTTCGACTTTTTAACTAGCTTTTTTCGGCGGAACTTTTTTTTATTTCATTCGAAAGCTATTGTTTTCCTGAGCTTAAATTTGAAAAGATATTTTGCCTGTGATCATTTTATGTAGCGTTATGGGGGTATAAAGATTGCTATTTTGGCCAGTTTGGGACAATTAACACGCGATATATTTAGCGCTATTAACGCGTAAGCGAGATTCAATCCGTCTTAGAAATCGGTTCCAATTTGGTTCAAGGAAGCTTATATGCCATAATTTATTTGTTAATAGGAGCGAAAATTATCACTTTGTTCTTAATATGACGTGTGGGAGGATGTTTTTACAGAAACTCTCAAATTTTTTTTAAAAAGTTTTTTAATTATATTTTTTATCTCTAAAATTTCGTGTTACTTTTGTTCCATAGACCTTAAAATGCAGTCGGAACGTTCAGGGCTTCGTCTTGATACAAGCAGTCTTGTTTATTTTGTATTCGTTAAATATTCGCGCCAAGGATGTGCTACTTTATCACTTCACACATCTTAAAATCTTAAATTAAAAGGTAGTCGGAACATTCAGGGCGTCACCTTGATACGAGCAGTCTTGTTTAATTTAAAATTCAACTTTGACTGTTTGATTTTTTTTCAGCGCTTGAAAATCTTAAACTTAACAAGACTGCTCGTATCACTGAAAAATAACATGAAAAATTTAAATTGTAAAAAAAATAAAAATATATTTTTTTAATTGAGATTTATTGTAAAAACATCCCCCAACACGCCATATTAAGTACAAAGCGATAGATTTTGCTTCTATTAACATATCAACTATAGCATATAAGCTTGTTTGATTTTGATTTTCAGCGCTTGCAAATCTTAAACTTAACAAGACTGCTCGTATCACTGAAAAATAACATGAAAAATTTAAATTGTAAAAAAAATAAAAATATATTTTTTTAATTGAGATTTATTGTAAAAACATCCCCCAACACGCCATATTAAGTAAAAAGCGATAGATTTTGCTTCTATTAACATATCAACTATAGCATATAAGCTTCTTTGAGCCAATTTGGAACAATTTCTAAGACGGATCAAACCTCCGCTTACGCGTTAATTGCGCGAAATGTATCACACGTTATTTGTCCCAAATTGACCAAATTGGCAATCTTTAAACCCCCACATCTTTACAAAAAATGATCAGAGGTGAAGTATCTTTTCAAATTTAGGCTCAAGACAAAAATAGCTTTCGAGTGATATAAAAAAGTTCAGTTAAAAGAGGCTAGTTAAAAATTCGAAATTAGTCTGATGAAAAAAAAAACCACCCCGATCACAAATATTCCGTTACTTTCATTACGAAAGCCTGAACAAGAATTATTTCCCAAAAAGTTCACTCGAATAATGACGATCAAGATCCATATATAACCAAATCCATCGATTCCCTCAGGCAAAAGTATACAACAATGATAACATTTTTTTTTTAAAATCGCTCTTCCAAATCAAAACTTCTCCTGAATCTAAAAGTTCATTTTCAACAATATTGTAATAGGCAAACAAGCGAAATTTTCTTGTTCAGATACGTGTACCATTAGATGAACATATTTTGTCCTATGTGAAAAAATGTTGTGAAGTATGCTGTTATGTAATTTTGTTTAGAGAACAAGAAGACTTTGAAACCGTTGTTCATAGTAATGTTAGATGACCTACTTATTAAAATTTGACAGATATTTAAAATTATGCGCTTGAAGCCCTTCGAATTTTCAGGACAATTTATTCCGGCTGATTTTTTGATAAGATAACCCAATTCGAGAAAAATGGATCGACACAGGGGCAGATTTAGGGGGCGGACGCCCTTCTCTCAGGGATTCGACACCCTGCCGACCCAAAGGGTCCCCCCTTTGATACTTTTTAAGAAATCCATTTTTAGCCGACCGACCTAAAAATTTTTCTAAAGGCGGCTTCGGCGCCAATATTTACTAATTTTGAGGGGGGAGCGCGCGCCGAAAAAACGCAATTTTTTTGGTCAAAATTTTCCAAAAAGTGCCTAAAAACGCCTTTTTTGACTGTTTTTTTTTCAAAAATTTGCCTGCGGCGCAGAAAATTTTGCCTAAATAGGGGGCGGGGCAAAACAGTGCTTTGTGAGAGCTCAAAAAATCAATTTGGACGACCTAAAAAAAACATCGTCAAAGTTTCCGATTTCTTTTTGAAAATCCGCCCCCCTCGAGAAAATCCTAGATCCGCCCCTGGATCGACAAGTTATTTCCTCTGGGAAAACTGAACACCAAAATCCACTCTAGAAACTAGAAGTTGTATCACATTTTCGTGAATTTTTAGACTTGCGCTCTTTGATACTCTCTCTTTTTCCCCACAGTCGGGTTAATTTTCCGACACTTCCACTTCCATGAGTGCTAGCATGGCGTTGCAGAGGGAGGACTGGCCCGCTCTGAACTGATTTGTCGGCTTCTCTACAATTTCTGACGTAGGTGGTGTGGGTCAGTTTGTTGATCTTCTTGTGATCGCCACAAAGATGAATGTTCTTGCCTCTCATCTCTTTTCTACCTGCTGCTTTGATGGTGTCCAGGCTGACAGGTCTATTTACCCGAAAAAGAGTCGCTGCGTCATTGGCCGCCTGGTCTGCTCTCTCATTTCCAGCTATGCCGCAGTGCGAGGGGACTCAAATGAAAGTCGTTTTCTCGATGTTGTTGAGATTCTTCCAAAACGATCGCCCGGACAATTAGCCACTTTCTGCAAGGAGGATTCGGAATCTGTGAGGATTTTGACAGTGGTCCCATGGGCCACTTCGAGATTGGTCACATAATCTAGCGATAGAAGGATGGCTGTCATTTCCGTTTGGTAGGAGGAAAATAGCTACCCGCCGGATTTGATACCTTCTGTGAATTTTTTGATAAGATAACCCAATTCGAGAAAAATGGATCGACACAGGGGCAGATTTAGGGGGCGGACGCCCTTCTCTCAGGGATTCGACACCCTGCCGACCCAAAGGGTCCCCCCTTTGATACTTTTTAAGAAATCCATTTTTAGCCGACCGACCTAAAAATTTTTCTAAAGGCGGCTTCGGCGCCAATATTTACTAATTTTGAGGGGGGAGCGCGCGCCGAAAAAACGCAATTTTTTTGGTCAAAATTTTCCAAAAAGTGCCTAAAAACGCCTTTTTTGACTGTTTTTTTTTCAAAAATTTGCCTGCGGCGCAGAAAATTTTGCCTAAATAGGGGGCGGGGCAAAACAGTGCTTTGGGAGAGCTCAAAAAATCAATTTGGACGACCTAAAAAAAACATCGTCAAAGTTTCCGATTTCTTTTTGAAAATCCGCCCCCCTCGAGAAAATCCTAGATCCGCCCCTGGATCGACAAGTTATTTCCTCTGGGAAAACTGAACACCAAAATCCACTCTAGAAACTAGAAGTTGTATCACATTTTCGTGAATTTTTAGACTTGCGCTCTTTGATACTCTCTCTTTTTCCCCACAGTCGGGTTAATTTTCCGACACTTCCACTTCCATGAGTGCTAGCATGGCGTTGCAGAGGGAGGACTGGCCCGCTCTGAACTGATTTGTCGGCTTCTCTACAATTTCTGACGTAGGTGGTGTGGGTCAGTTTGTTGATCTTCTTGTGATCGCCACAAAGATGAATGTTCTTGCCTCTCATCTCTTTTCTACCTGCTGCTTTGATGGTGTCCAGGCTGACAGGTCTATTTACCCGAAAAAGAGTCGCTGCGTCATTGGCCGCCTGGTCTGCTCTCTCGTTTCCAGCTATGCCGCAGTGCGAGGGGACTCAAATGAAAGTCGTTTTCTCGATGTTGTTGAGATTCTTCCAAAACGATCGCCCGGACAATTAGCCACTTTCTGCAAGGAGGATTCGGAATCTGTGAGGATTTTGACAGTGGTCCCATGGGCCACTTCGAGATTGGTCACATAATCTAGCGATAGAAGGATGGCTGTCATTTCCGTTTGGTAGGAGGAAAATAGCTACCCGCCGGATTTGATACCTTCTGTGACGGAACCATCTGTACAGATGTATATCGTGTGAGTCCTCGTCTTTCTGTCTGTCTAGGATTTCTGCAGTGTTGCGTCTTCTCTCTTGTTCTATCTTTGTCTTCATTCTGTGAGGTCGAGTCTGAAGGAACTAATGTCGCAGGAAGCCTCCTAGGGAGCATAACCAAAACTGTTCGGTTCGCGTTGTTGAAGGTCGAGTTCATTGACAGCTTCTAGTTCCTGGGCCAACCGTTTCCAACATCTGCGTTGTTGGCGGTGAGTCGGAGCTTTCCTCTCGGATTCGACGCCAGGCTTCATGAGTTCTTCTCTTCATACGGGGTCTGGTCTCGTTGTGTGCAGTGTGTCCGACTTACCTGTCGAACGTCTCGGATATAAGCAACCACATTTTAATCATACGGGTGTGGATTAATTTGGACCGCTTTATGTTCCGGTTCGCAGAAGCACTGAAAAAAAGATGGGGATTTCTTTTCACTTGCCTCACCACCAGGGCTGTACAACTTAAGATTGTACCATCTCTGGACACTAGTTCTTGTGCGTGTCTAACGGTTCATTGCGTGTCGTGGTACATCAAGCACGATCTGGTCGGATAACGGCACGAACTTCGTTGGTGCCGAAAAAGAATTACTTGCCTGCATCAAGAGTTGGAACGGCATGGCTCCGACCATTTTTGCTCACAAAAGTGTTGCTTGGAAATTTAACCCGCCAGGCGCACACCATCATGGCGGCTCCTGGGAGCGCCTCGTCCGAAGCGTGAAGCGCGTACTTTACGAGATACTAGGCAGAGC